GCATTTTATTATCGATTTTAAAAATTTGCTGTATTATAACTGAAATCCAATAAAACCTTTCTCCTTTTGAGGTGACTGACATAGGAAACAAGGAAACAGATACTGTTCATGGCAATTATCCACGTGGAAATGTAAGTTTTGCCTAAATATTTATTTCAACGAAAACCTAAAGTTTATTACATATACAACTATTGTTTAGGTCGGTCAACCCATTAATAAATCTGGCCAAACTTCAGATGTAAGAAGAGGTCGAGGCAAAGGATCGGCGGATGAGTTGGTTCGATTTCCTTTTCCTCTCTATCACATTATTTTATTTGAAAGAGGGTTCATTTTCAGGGAGATGCAGAATCCGGAGGAGCTAAGTCTGGGAAGATGAAGAGCGGTTCTGAGGCTTACAGGGAATAGAAGTACTACGTTGTGTGCATCCCGCAGTTGTAGATACTTATGATGTTCACAGTAAATAGAGTAGCATACCCATAGAATTTCGATGCTGCTGTTGTAAAGGTTTGTACAAATGGAAATGGAGTGAATTCACGTTGTGTTACATAGAAGGATGGGATTGAGTTGTATTTAAAAAGGAACTAATAAATTTGTCTGCTCGGACGCTTTTCAAAGAATAAAAAAAATCAAAAACACCTATACTTCCAGTAGTTTAATTGAGAAGTTATAAAACAATAGATAATAACAGGTTTTGTAATGTATATATGCTATAGCACATTGAAAAATATATATTGTTAATCTCTAACGTAGCTAAATTGTCGCTTAAAACACTTAGGTGTGCTCTTCATTGCTTAACATGTATCTTGGGGTTACTGGTTGAAGAAGTGAAAAAATCGACGCTGCAGGCATGTCAAAGTATGAAGATCCCAACCCTTAACGTAAACTGAATAAATTGGTAGAATGTGCAGAAAATTACGACATGAACAGCCTGTATTTAGCTCGGTACATTTGAAGTTTTATGGGAATTTCGATAATAATCACGTTTTATCATACAAGGATTGTGGTTTCTGATGGTGCATTATATAATTTTATTATTTGTTAATGTTCCCATTTACCAGGTATTGATGCTTGAGAAAAAGGAATATTAGCTAACAAACGAATTTTAAAGTTTTTTAAATCGAAAATCCCTAAATGAAGGACACAGTTAATAAGTTTGCTAACCGC